ATATCTATGAAAAACAATATGAAAGAATTAGCTATAAGTTCCAAGCACTGACTTTAATTTTTGCCATTTTGTAAAGTCCATTTGTCAGGCTATTTAAAGTCAAATTTACATGTTTTTTACAATAGCATGAAGATGTTTTGACTAGTTTGCATACGGACTTAGAGCATGCGCAGACGTTTTTTAATCGTGTCCTTCAGAAAGCTAGAAAGACATAGATGACGTCCGCAGAAACAAATACGTGAACCAATGATCAAGCTAACCGGCAAGACTTGCGCGATGTGCAGATGTGATAATATTGTCTAGCTATTGCAAAAATTTCCATTCGCACGAGGCGATCGAGGGAGTAAATAACGGCTGTCAGCTACTTCAACAAACTGGGTTAGTTAAAGTAAGTTGCTCAATTAATCTCGGTAAAAAGAAACTTAAAAAGTGATTCAATGCAAATTGGCAAATTGATATGAGAAATATTTGACTCGATTAAAGCCAACAGTAAACCCAAATCAACATTTTATTCCAAAATGAGGTTTAGGCCTTTATTTGCTTATTTCCCATATATTTTCTATAAAAAGCCTGACAAAGCTACATTCTAACACAAATGCAACAAAACATCTTTGTACAATTGAAAATACCGCTACAAACAGGCTCATTTTATCATAGTACATCAGTTTCTAACTGTTTAAAAAAGACACTCAAAACGAAAATTGGGATCAAAACTCATACGAAAGTTTTGGCGCTTTTTGTCATTATCTCTCATTATTGAAAAAAGATTCCTCTTAATAATGCACTTTGATATATATTTGTATACATTAGTCTTATTCTGTTGACCTGAAAATGTTGTCACAGGACTGATTTTAATCACAATCTCAGAAAATTCGTAGTTCCAACACTTAACCGCGCTTAGAGGCCCATTGGGGACAAAGAAAAATAAAGTATGTATGTTTGTAAAACCTTCTCGAACGAGTATCCATTTCATGATTATCAGAAATGGATTTTTGGACTTTAATCTTATTCGATCAGACGAGGACTTTCCAAGAAATCTGCCTCATTCGAGGAAAAGCTTAAACCTGCACCTGCTATATGCAGATTTATCAAAAAAAAAAGAAAAAAAAAAAACTTATTTTGGATGCGAGTGAGAAAATTATTGTTTGTTTTCTCCGAGTATGCGAAAATGTGTATGTTCTAAAACCTTCTTTAAACGAGGATTCAGTTTATGATTTTTGCAAATGGATTTTCGGACTTTAGTCTTATTCGATCGTATAGTAAAGTAAGAAAAAA